TATATATGTGTGTGTACTTATGGATCTGTGTGAAAGTTGAAATACATATAATAATAGTAGTAAGGATATGTGAGCCCATAGTATCAGGAGTACCAACCAGAAAAGAATTGATTGATTAGATAATGATGGCGTTGCATGCATGCTCACATGCACCTAGCATTCATGCAGAATACCAGCCAACCAATCAAACATCTATCCATCTTTGTATACAACTTTCAAGAAGTAATTCTACTGCAAAAATGCTATGATTTTAAGGCGATTGTAGACAATGATCAGTTGACGAAAGACCGGACCGGTCGATTCCTTGATCCAACTTACGGATGGACCAGTTCCATTCATCTCATTCTCATCGTTTATTCACCATTATCTCATCATTCCTCATCAGTACCAACCTCAAATTATCGATTATTAGATTTTTTTAAGTGTTGTTGTTGCTATCAAGTATTATGTTATTTATGGATGACTCTTCACTAGCAATTTTTTTCGGTGAAATTCTATTGAATAGTCAAGAAAATTGAAGTGAATCGTCACTCTATCGCTTCAATTGGCCTTTTTTCATTTATTTGTTTATTCAGTTTGACCTCTGATCAACCTTGAACGATATCGACTAAACTCTTTTCGATAACTTTCAAAGTGCGTAAGTCAAGAAACTGCATTCGACAAGTGTTTTCATGTGAAGTAAAGTGCTTCGAACACTTGCATATATAATAGATGCGAACTGTTATGAAGTAACTCCACGAAGAACACTTTTCAACTAAAATTCAAATAACTAAAAAAATCACACCCAACAATTCTCTGACGATGAGTGCCACCAAATCAATGTGGTCTATAGTCAGCTTATGAACTAATCATCAATAGATTCTATGGTAGATCAATGACGATCGCGTTCGTACCAATAATAATGGTAATAAATATATTAATAATTATAAGAATCATAATAATGATCATAATAAACCGGATTTTAGATACCTAATATGCATGTATTGTATGAATGTATGATTGCGATTTTCAAATTACTTCTCAAATAATTTTAAACGACTCCAGTTTCACCAGAAAAAGCAGTCAACAATGTTCACATATGAATAATCCTAATTATTATTCATTCTCACTATTATTTTTCTTATGAATCATTATCTATTTGCATTAATAATTATGGCTGGAGAGAGTGAATTTAGTTATTGCCGTAACTTTCATCACAGCTTCTTGTGCATAACAACTCACTAGATACGAATTTATACTCCTAATAACTGCTTGTTGACTTGGTGGTTACCGATGAGTTTCGATGGGATAGCATGCGTGCATGTTTCACATCCACAGTATCTGTAAAAAAAGATGTATATCGGTGAGCCCCAGTTTTCTTCGTCCAATGGACCATCTGGGCTGCTATGATTGCAAGCAAATCGCATGCTTGCTTCTTTTTCCTGCAGCGTTATCTATTAAAGATTGAGATGAGAATAGTGTAATGATTTTAAGAAGTTCATTCTGCTCCATCACCAAAATCATCGCTACCGTAGGCCGTTTCGCTTACTGACGGGCGATATTGCCCACGTTAAGGAGCAGTGACTGTTCGTGCATCAAAATTCCTTAATTTCAGGTGCTGCTATTGAGGTTTAGCAACATTGGATTCTTGCTTACATCTCCTTGGATTGCAAGTTTCGGATTTTAAAATTTCTGAAATCGAATCTGGAAAGTTGAGGATTGTCGAAACGATCTCGCATCATTCCTAGCAAAGCTACAAAAGCAAGTGAATCGGTGATAATGAGATACTGTTTACGGACGTTAGATAAACCACTAATGCGTTTGTTCGCATGGTACACAAAAAATCTGCTAGTGGACTACTATCATTTATTCATACTGATACCGATAATATTAACTGCTTTTTTTGGCTATGGCATACGATGGATTTTCGAATTGACCATTTTGGATGCGAAAATGCTCTACACACCCCAATCAGCACCCTGCTGGCAAGAGCGAAAAATCATTTCTGAGGTAAGTGAGCAGCATCTTTTCAAGTTCATTTTTCAATCTTATCGCTGGAATTGAATTTAAACTGTCACCATTATTATCACTATTATCATTAATATTATTTTATTCCTATTATTACTACCATTATTAGTATTATTATTATTATCATTATTATTATTTTCACTATTGTTTTTGCTGAAAAAAACTACCCACATCTATCTATTGAGCTATGGCCAATCCGTGTGAACGAGTTTCTGCCCGAGCGGACGTTTGAATGGAATCGTTATTTGTATGTGATTGTGCATGGACGACAAGTGGCTGTTGATGCTAATAACAATAACAGCATCTCTAGCAACGAATCGTATCCGAATCTGTTGGATGGCCAATATTTAGATGAAATTGAACGACTGGAGCGCAGTATCGCCCACAATGTCACATTTCCAATGCAACCCAAATGGCACTCAAACAAAACTGCGTTCATCAATGGAACTGTCCATTTTCAGGTACGAATTTCTAGCGATGTATCTCCATCTTAATCTTATCCACCGTCTTATTGCTATTATCATTTATTGTTATTTTATCGTTTACCATTGATGCTATTCTTCGCCGCTACAACTTGTTACTGATCGTGTATAACAATGGTTCTCATAGGGAGTGAAATTACCCATTTTGGATAATTTGAAATTGTCAAAGGATAATGGAGGGAGTCGGCAAATTAGTATTTCGTGCAGTTGTTATGTTTTGATTGAACGCCATTGTGATGGTGTTTTTTAACTTGGGTAAACTCTTCATTCTCCTAATTTCTAAGTATCATTAGCTCGTCCAGGCCTAACGGGGTTGTCATTCGTTTAAACAGGGTTTTCATTCTTTTCCTTGCTGTTACAATCACTCTCATAGCTTTTATCACTAAAAGTGTTTTGTTTTGCTAATTTCTCGTTCATTTCACTCAACAATTAAAGTCAAATTCTACTCAATACCCTCTATAAGTGATCAGTTGACTGTTGAACGTTGTTGAGCAATAATATTCGATTGCTGTATTGTTGATTTCGGCTGTCAACATTCGTTAGCGTATCCAGTAAATAGTACATTCTACAGAATAAGAAGCTGATTCGAAATGTGAAGTGAAATGAGAAGAAGTGAATGAGAAAAACTCATCAACAGAAAGATATTCGCATGTAATAGCTATGGGAGTCAATAGAATACGTCTGAAAAGAACGAAAATTCATCTCTATCAGTTTGAAGTGACCACGTCATAAACAATAGGTTTTCATGCAATCATAATCAATTGCAATAATGAGCAACGGTCTAGGACGTGAAATTACTCGTTTTGGGCAATTTGGGGGAGTCGGGGGTGACGGCGGCCTGCCAGCACATCAGAAGGGGTAATGAAGCATCCGAACGTGAGAATCACTGATATATAATATTGAGTTTATTGTCATTTTTGCTGTTGTTTTTGTATGATGCACTTTGTTTATAGGATATTTGCTTGAATTGGTATGGTGAATGTTATCGTCAGAACGCAATAATAAAGTTGTTAAGAAATCGTAAAGAACTTGAGAAACGTGGCATAGAAGTGACTTTCCCGAGGGCAAACACAAAAGGGACCCCAATTTATTTAGCATTCAACGTTGGTGGCGTCGACGTTTACGAGAATGACACTATTAAGGCGGTTTTTTGAAACTTACTCATGTGTTTAATTATTTATTTATTCGTTTGTTTAGTTCATGACCGATTATTAATTCTCTTGGTTTCTTATCAACTCTGTTTCATTTAATCAGTTGAAATTCAGGCTGTTCGAGGTATGAGATTGTGGTATTTCATGCGATTCGATGATGAGCAAATGAATCAAATTTCAATGGAATGGGAAGAGTGCGCTGAAAATTTTATCAATGAACATTTCGCGAATAATTCACTTATTCAGGTGATTTCTGTCTGTTTCAAACAACAACTGTGAGAGTATGCATTACTTGCATGGTTGTCCTTCAGCCGTGTGCTTAGTTCTGATTCCACGCGTAAGATCACGTCGAATTCTTAGGCTAAGGTTGAACTCAATTCAAGCAGATGATGTTAAAACTTGAATTAGTCTTGAGTAGGTTGCTTAGGTTATTTTATTGATTTCAGGCGCATGTTCACCATTCACGAACCATCGATATCGGCTTGACGCGTAACGCAAATCGTTTGAAGCCATACTTTTCCGTGACCGTAATCGTGTTGATTCTCTTCACGACATTTTATTCGATGAAATGGAAATTTAGCTATGAAACTGCTCCAAACTCACCGCTTCGATGTAGCGGAGTTCCATTTGGTAAACATAAAGCGCATTGTTTTTCAAGTTCTTTACTGTTTTCATTCCACTTCTTTAACGAATTTTACATTTCAGTTGGTTCATAGTGAACTCGTCGTTGAATTTTCAGCGAAAATATGCTGTAACTGGTGAATTTATTGTATTTGGAACAGTTATGGGGTAAAGATGAATAAGCGATAGAACATGATGAACAAGTGAGAAATCATGAGTATGAATGATACCTCAGTACAGCGATTGATAACGTGGTGATCCAGTGAGTCGTGAGTCGTCTAGTCCTGAGAAAATGAGTGGGTCATGGGTCGTCTAGTCCTGAGAAAAGGAATGAACGGGAATGAGCCAGTATTAATAATTTACTAGAGCTCTAAAAAAAACTGGCAAATGCATCGCTAACAGAAGAAATAATTGGGAATTGGTCAGCGTGCAATTCAAACTATAGGCTTGTTTGTCAGCTTTACAGTACGCATCGACTGGCTCAGGTCGAAGCCTTGGCTCGCGCTTGCCGGAGTTCTTTCGTCCGGAATGGCCATCGTCAGTGGCATTGGCTTATTGCTTTGGTTCGGCATGTTCTTCGCTGAAATCACTTTGATCGCGCCGTTTCTCGTTCTCTGTGAGATCTTTTTTCATTACCGCGTTTGTATTGGTGGCCTCTTTTCTGAAATCATCCATCAATGATATCGACAATGAAGATTATTATTATCATCATTGTTATCATCAACATTATTGCTATTATTACTGTTATTACTGTTGTTGTTATTATTATATTATTGCTATTATTATTATTATTATTATTATTATTATTATCCTTTGATCAGTACGTGATCAATAAATTCGAAATTTTACTGATTGCTCGTCGTCAGCTCAAATTGTTGCTTAAAACTGATTTCAGCGATTGGAGTGGACGATATGTTCATTGCAGTTGCTGCATGGCATTACACGGAATCCGCTTATCCAGGTTAGCACAAAGATAAGTCGAGAAAGATGATTTGTTTAAATAAAGCTGTATCTAAACATTCCTAACAAGCCACGAAGTGTTGCAGGCAATAGCAAGAGTGTTCTGAAAGCTCGTATGATCGCTGCAATGTCCGAATCAGCAGTGGCCATCTTTATCACAAGTATGACCGATGTGATATCGTTTGCAATTGGTTGTTGGACGGATATTATTGCTGTGCGTGGCTTTTGCGCAATGACTTCAGCGTGCATGTTCTTCACATTCATTTATCAAGTCAGCGCTTCGCTTCGATTTCCTTCATTTCCAAACGTAAAGCAAAAATTTTCACCAAAAAATTAAAGAATTTTATCGTTTTGCATTATTTTCAGGTGACATTTTTTGCGGCCATAATGGTTATCAGTGGTAAATGCCAACTGGCTGAACGCAATTCATGTTTTCCGTGCTTAAAAAGCACCTCAGATTGCTACGATGAAGACAGCATATCGGCACAAAAATTACAAAAAGCACACAATAAGAATCATGAAGTGATCGTTGTCGATTCAACACGTTTATCTGCAGTAAAAAATGGTTGATTGCGTTTTCGACACTTCTTTATCCATCGTTTTAAATTCATCAAAAATTCTTTCTTAGTTCACTTTCGTTGACATGACCAATTTTGAGGATGTTATCAGTTGCGAGATGTTGTTTCGAATCACATCAGTGATCCATATATGGAACGAGTTAAGCCGTCGGCTTCATCTGAGTCATCGCTTAGCGATAGCACCATCTCACAGCGATCGTCCAGTCGAACAATGGAAATGTTCTTCAGGTTTATTAGTTGTCTCCGTACAGTTTCATAATCAGGCGATCATCAACCAAAAATTAATCGATCAAAGTTAATCAATCTCACAATCCCCTATATCACGTTTACTCGATCTGTCCTGCCTGTATCTTTTCTTGGGTTTCACTGAACGTTTATATTTCTCAATAGATGTGTATATTCCCGAGAGAATAATTCTTTTCTTAGAACATATTTCAAGCTGCAACGAATTATCTTTGATCAGCCTCTTTGCTATTTTCAGTCAAATCTATGTACCCTTTTTATTGGATATTCGTACAAAAATCGCAATGTTATTCATATTTATCGCGTATTTATTGGTAAGCTTCTATTCTGTTGCTTCTGTTCACTACTTTTTATTATGCAGGATTTTTTCAAAGAATGGATCTTGTTCTTTTGATTGAATTTACATGGAAAAAGTGACATTCATCGGATCTTATGTTGATATAGGTGATGTTCTGAATTTTATTGTTTTGATTGAAATCTATTATTAGACAGCTATTTATGGTATTATTGGAATGGAACAAGGCTTAGATTATGACAAGTTATTGCTGAAGAGTGACCCGATTGTACGTACAATTGCCACTGAGATTGAATTGTTTCACGGTGGTGACCAAGTGAGTTTCTGTTCTTTCACATTGTTTACTGAAGTGCAGTACTGTGTGCAGTATTCAAGCCTTATAATTGAAGTTGATACTGTACATTTGAATCTAGCACCGTACATTCGAGTCGAATATGGTTAACTTACTTTCGATGAAGAATGGAGCAAATGCTGAGTGATAATGATTTCGCAAGATGAATAATGGGCACTTGTAACAGTAATAGCAATAGCAGTTATAATAGTGATAGGAAGAAAAATGATGATAGGTGTTATGAACGGAATTATAAATGTTTTAAATTGGCAGATCGAAATAGCGGTGGTAAACGCTCCGGATATGTCAAACAAAACGAATCGTGAACGTGTTATTGAGATGGTGAATGATTTCGAGACAGTTCCGTATTCGTTGGGTTCGAAGGGAACACAATTATGGATTCGGGAATATATTAAATATGCAAATTTAACGGGCTCATATCTGCTTGATGACCGACAATCGTGGGTTGAGGGCGTTTTTCAATGGTCACGTCTTTTCGCTTTCTACAAGCTGTGGTTAGTTTCATCATTCACTTATTCATTTCCTTTTTCTCAACTGCTATTTCAGTTTGAATGAGCAGAGTGACTGCCAGACGAATTGTTGTGTGAGTGGTGGATACGAAAAATGCTCTTATATTTCAAAGGTCGCAAGATTTTGTGTGGGAGAATGCAGAGGATCCATTCAACGTAACGATGAAATCGTTTCGATTCCGTATTGGTGTGACCGAGTTCAACAAGCCAACAGACTTGGTGATTCTGACGAAGTTACTTCGCAAGATCGCTGCCAAATATCCAGACATGCGCATTTACACCTATCAACAGAGTCGTGCGATTGCAGATCAGGTTCGTGCCTGATTTCAGCTGACTTAGGTAAACATGTATATGAATGTCGTTCATATTTTAGTTGGATGTTATTTTGGTGAATACCCTTCAAAATGATTCAATCGCTTTGGTCGTTCTACTTATCATATCGTTGCTGTTCATTCCGAATCCTTTGTGTACATTCTGGATTGCAATCGCTATCATAACTATGGATATTGGTTCGTTGGCAAACTTCTTACTTCCTTACTGATTTCGCTAACGTATTGCTGTTCTAGAGTGATGAATTTGATGTAACTCAATTAAGAATAGTGCCTGGAAAAAGATACCTGTAACTTGAGAGATACCTGTAAGTAGGATAGCGCTTTAGTAATTACCTGCTGAATGACGAGATAACAGGAAAAGCAAAGATTGGAGTGAATTGAATGAGCAACATTCAGGTGTGATAGGATATTTGGCGCTCTGGAGCGTAAAATTGGATCCCATCTCGATGGTCACAATAATAATGTCGATCGGTTTTTCGATCGAATTTTGCGCTCATATCACATACGGGTTCATGAGCAGCGGTGAAAACTTAACACCAGCTGAACGTTGTAGTTATGCGATGGAGAAACTTGCATGGCCAAGTAAGAATTGCTTATTATTGTTTGTATTTTTCACTTCAAAATTTTTGTTATGCACTTGCACCATAATTTTGTTTTAGTGTTGAAAACTCTTTCATGTTCTTTCTTCTTCTCAACAGTTTACTAATTGTCAAATGTCGAGTGAAATTTTTAGAAAAAGTATTTCAAAATGGATGTTTATATTAATTATTGATCGAAAGAATATGGATTAATGCTTATGCAAAATGATAAAAAGTTTCAGTTGTTCATGGAAGTATGTCGACAATACTTGGTGTTGCTGTATTGGCATTTATTAACTCATATATGGTGCTTGTCTTCTTTAAGACCATCTTCTTAGTTCTCGTTATCGGAGTCTTTCACGCACTCGTTCTACTGCCAATCATTCTCGCCGAGAGTGCACCAGTCGCTGATCGAATCACACGCCGATTCCAAATTCATTCAGCTACTATCGTTGATAATAGTAATCATACTAACAGTAAGAGCAGTAATAATAGTCGTCCTCATCATAATAGTAATAATAACAATAATAATAATAATAATGACAATAATAATAGTAATCGTAACCACAACGATGATAATGACACTTATGTCAGTAATAAAATTAGCAATAACAGGAACCAAAATAAGAATCAAAATAATGTTAATAATAGCAGAAATAATAATAGATGCAACAATATCGCTAACAATAGTAGTGATAATGTTGTGCAAAACAGAGAGGTCAAGTTGAAAAACTGTCGGTAAACAGTTGACATCTATGTACGTTGATTGCATGCGTTTTATTGTTATAGAATGTTATCGTATTGTGTAAAATAAATTTTATCATTTTAGAATTTGATCATTTTCATTGTTATTTGATGATAAAATGGTGTTAACTTAAAGAGGTTATCAGTGACATTGATAATAGTAGTGATATTCATATTTTAAAAAATAACAATAAGAATGTTCATGCAAGAAAGGATAAATTCAGTAGAAAGGACATAAAATTGCTCACTTCGTTTCGATGAGAAGGAAAACGAGAAGAATGAACATTTTCGATTCAGTTCAAAATTCGATTCGATTATGGATCATTTGATTGTAAAAAAGACCAAATAAAAACCGAAAAATGTGTTCAACTGGAATTTGATGGAATGAGGAGAGGAGGTTTGATTTCATTTCATGACTATTGATGATAACGGTAACAGTGATGACGATGAGAACGCGACCTGTTTTTGATGTGATCAATAAAAATTAGGAGGAGGGAGGGATAGGGGAATTTAGGACGGCACAAAGTGACTGGTGAATAAATAGTGGTGTTCAGGTGCGAAGGTGAATTCAAATGAGTGAAATATTTCTTCGATTTATACATTATCAGTATTTTTATTAATGTCATACCTGTAATATTACCATTATTAAAATTCCGTCTCTTGATTAATGGTTTTGATTGAATTATTCGGTTGTTGCTTTTCTTTGATTTCATAAATGGAGCGACGAATGAACGAAAATCCAGAATTACGCATTCTTTGATCCTATGAAGCTGTATTCCATTAGGAAACAACACGAAGTGATAACATCAGCGATGATGAATTCTAAAAATTCGCTGATCCGATCAAAAGATTCATTGAGGAGAAAACATTCATGAAATGACTGAATTGCGATTGAATGGTTGAGAAAAAAGCAAGAAGTGGTAAGAAATGGGAGGAAATTTCGATGAGAGTTGACGAAAACAAGAGGAGAGTACCGAGTAGATAGATAGATACATAGATAGAGCGGGATAATCATAAGAATTAAACTCATCGAATGAATACAACCATAATCACAGAAATACGTTTGCTTGCTCTTTGCAAGTTGTATTCAAGACGATATAATCAGTATTGTTACCGTTGCTGAATATGTCTTCTGAGAAGAAATCGTGGTAGTAACGTAATAGAACTGGTTCTTCATGTTTTATGTGAAAATTTTTTCCTTTGATCTCTCTTGATGGAATCTTTTTTTTTTGAAAATCCATTAATTCCTGCATTCATTCATTGCTGTATATCAAATTTCGATTTCTTTCAGAGATAATAATTTTGTATCGAACTGGTATGAAATCGTCAGTGAGTGACGAGTGTAAACACTTGGCTACCTGTATATTCGTTTCATCTCTTCGCATTTTTCTCTCATTTTCATCCTGTTTTAAATGGCAGAATTTTCACAAATTTTCGAACACATTTCCTTGTGCGATTTCCCTCATATCAGGTTGAAAATTTTAGAATTCATACAGCTTTCTTCACAAATCATTCGTAAAACCAGGTTTGTTTTGGCTGGATTGACTGATGGAATACTCACTCTAAAATTAACTTCAGAAATTTTGGGAGCGCGCTGTCTATCCTCTGTGAAAATACAGTCTAACGAGTGACAAGCATGTTGTTCTTCGAGATTGTTGTGGCGTTTTTGATTAGTCAACACTTAAGAAACAATGTCGTTGGATTGTCAGCCGAAGGAGATGTCTTGCAAGCGACACCAGCAACGGTGAACTGATTTTTGATTGTTTCGTTGATTTGTAGTTCAACTAATTCAATACTGAGTCCTCTTTCTCTTCTGTTCTATTATAAATTCGACTTCGTCTCGCATCAAAGTGAAACAAACTCATTGATTTCACAAACAAAGCGATAAAATATTTCAGATAGTCTTCGGCCCATCAACCGCTCTTCAAACGCCGGCTGCTGTTGCTGCTAGCAAAAATCTTCTTATTCAAGGTCGGAAAGTAGCCTTAAGACCGCTTTCTGGACAGCTAACTTATATTGCAAAGGCACTACCGTCACACACTAGATCAACGCTACCAACATCTGTTCAAGGAGTTGCAACCACAATAAAACGATCACCCAAAGGATTACAACAAAGAGCAAGAGGTATGCGCAGACTGTAGTATCGATCATGAGAATTGTGGCAGCACCCACCTTACCATTATGATGCATGACCTATACTCAATCAACTCCATTCGTGCATTAGCAGATCATGAAATCGATAGCAGAATGTCATGAATCACAAATTTGGATGTCGTCTCATAACTGAGTCAAATTAAATCACTGTCAACACTAGATGCAGCTTTCAATAGTCAAGCATATGACGAGCAACAACTGCCCTCATCCGCACCCGAATATGCGCCTCAAATGAATCCATGCGTTGTTCAACTGCCACCATGTCAACCCGCACCAGTTCACTCACACTACCCGTTACCTCAGTGCTACACAAATAAATCTGGCAAGTCACTTCCATCCATTAATTGATACGCTCTTGCACTCGCCTCTATTATTCATTTGTCACTTCCATTGGTTTCATATTTGCTGTGCATTTATTTTTGCTGTTTGATTGTTTTTATCTGCGTTCATCGATCATCAATGCACTAACAGTTGATTGTTCACTGATTTATTGTTTGCTGTTTATTTTGTTGTTGTTTAATCGTTGACTGATATGCTGTTTGATTGATAGGTTTTATGTGCTGTAATAAACAAATGGAAATGGAAATGCGGAATAGTCTTAATCAGCTTCGAAATTCACAGAGTGGAGCGTTCAATTTGTGTAACATCCAGAAAATTACAAATGTGATGCAGGTTGTTTGATTTTTTATCTATTGCACGCATTTCCCGAAAATTTTTGACTTTTTTAATCGGCTCTCAGATTTTCAGCAGTTGTTTGATTATCGTCATCAGTTGATTGAATCTTAATTTGATTAAATAATTGAACACCAACCTTACCAGTAATTTTGTATCAACCGCTCGTCAACCAACAGGTTTGTTGAGCAACAAAAAATATTGAGTAGCGCAAAAAACTTCACTGAAAAAATGTCCTCCTCTTGTTCAAATTTGAGTTCATTTCAAATATTCCAAAGACCTTCACGACATTTTTGATTGAAATTGCCTCAATCGTGCACAAAAAGTCTAGTTAACTAGTGTAATTGGCGAGCGTAAATAGATTTAAGAAGCATTTTGATGAACTGTTTTCAGATGAATCTTCAACGAGCTTTCAACTCATCATTCGAAGCAGTCACCGGGATTAGCGATTTTGCGTCAAAAATTCACTTCTTTAAAGACTATGTGTGTAAGGTGGAAGTTGATGGCAGGTGAATATCTCAGTGATCATTAGCTGCTAATCATTTTCAGAAGTACCCTCACACTTTGAAATATACGTGCATATAAACTTCATCATAGGTAATCTGGGTTGTGTTCACCTGAGATTTCCACTGGAAAACTATGAGAAGACAGAAAATGACGAAGTTGAAAGGATATGCTGAAATTACAATTAGAGCGCTGAACGAAGTGCTGCAATAAGGTAATGCGAATTGCAGCAACATTCGTCGAAGAATAACACTGATTTAAAATGCATTCATTTTATGTTGCAGATACATGCTAGCCTATGGGACCCCAGGTCAAGCAACACCACCCTCACCTCGAATCGTATCCCGTCCCCCATCAGCACCTCAAATCCCCTACCAACGTCGATCACCATCCGTCATTTCAAAGCAATATCAAGTGGAACCGGCTGGAATCTCATACGGTCGTCAATCCTTAATGTAATACTATTTATGCGCAATATTAGCCTGCAAAATTGATTGTTTTTATTGAGGAACCGCTTGAAACATTGGTAATAACCTCGCAAAAATAACAAAGACTGACGAAAACAACAAAAAAACTAGCGAATGTTGAGGGGAACGATGAAAAAACTGAGCGTTTATCGGAAAGACTGATTGTATGAAAAAAACGAGGCATAGACAAGCTGATATCCTTAAAATTTTCATGCAAAACAATGAATGTCCCGTTCCAAACACGATCAACATCAATAAATGGTAACATTGTAAAAAACGACATTAATCAGAAGTGACATAAAGAAGTTGGAATCACATATTCAACATCACATAATCAAAAAGTTATTTCCATTTGAATGACTAGACTCTTATAACTTTTAGTATAAAGATATTTTCACTAAGAATCGTACTGATCGCTTGATCAACAAAATAACGTTGACGGTAAAACTAAATGAAGGAAAAGGATTCACTTAATGGTAATGATTATAATTCTTGTTATTGTCATTACCGTTCATGATATGACTATTTGTACTGCTCCTGACTTTTATTCTTCACTAATTTTCGCTGACTAAGTAATTTATTCTTTCAACTGTTTATAAAATGGTTGCCCTATCACTATTAATATTACTATCATTCCTGTCATTATTATTCCTGATTAGATCGTTACTAGCATTTGATTTATGATGAAGTATATTATGATCATTATTGCTTGTATTTCTAATGTTTTTATTGTTAAGATGGACCTTACCAACCTCATTAATATGGTCATTATTATCATTAATCGAATCATTTTTTATGAGACGCTTAACCAAATCGCCAGGTTCTTCACATTTTGTCCACCATTCATTAAAATTTTCAATCGTATATTGTTTCTGCGGTTGTTGCCATAATAATCTGCAGAAAGCAAACGTAAAATTTCATAAATAGAGCGCTATCTATCTTAAAGTACTCTTCTATGCTCTCCAATGAAGTGAGATACACGTTTGCTTGAGATACGTCCAGAAATTGGAATTAAATTCGAGAAGATTGCATCACGGAATTGTTTCTGATGGCACTATTCGCATTACCTGCAAAGCTGGCATATACCCCATGGCTGTTCTAGCTGGTCGTGGGTGTTACCGTCCAAAAAAATAGCCGCGTAATCACGTCTCCAGTCGAAATACTCCCTGAACGATGATCTTCGCACTATCAATCAAACTAACAACCCTATTAAAGTCGTTTAATTGAGCTCAAATAAAAATATCTATCATTGAAAAAACGTTGAGATGAGTTTAGAACAACAATGCTTTCAAACGATGGAAGGATGCATGGATGAAAGGATTTGGCTTACCGATAAGCCGTACTGTTACGCATCAGATACTTCAAATGATCAGCTAATTGTTTGATATCAACAAAATCATCCGCTGCAATGAACGAATGCGGTGGAGCGTACGCTTCCAGAATGGAGCGTTGCAAAACAATTGGCACTATCAGCCGATTGAAGCCTTTACCCCAAAGTTTCTCGGTCACATAGTCGTGACAAATTGAATTCTCGAATGCAATATAAAAATAGTATCTGAAAAAAGTGAACAAATATAAATGCTGCAGTCAATTGGTAGCAACAAAAAGCTTTAAAACACATGTGAATAAAAGTGAATGTGATTCTGCAAAAAGCGGGTGAATTGCATAAATCTGACTGCTTGAAAAATATTTGCATTTGGAACTCTTTTTTGAATCAATCAGTTAGCAACACATTTTTGATGAAGATTCATTGCCGTAAGCACACATTTCATTAATATTTCATGAAGAAGAAGGATTTGTTCAGAATCGTAAGGCAAAATAAGTGAGAGACTCATTAGGTTGTCCCTATTCAACTGTTATCATCCAACTACACATTCGAGGATGGTTTCCACATGCCGTACAAAATTTTAAGTGACGTTTACATGCGACGTGTTTTCGTTAAAATAAGTGCTGAGGAGACGTCGTTTTCAGCTTACTTCTAGAAGTGTGCACTTACTTTGAATCTAGTACGTCCTCACAGGATGTCTTTCTTGTGCACCTCAACTGTCCACAATCACCATAAATATCAACATCGATGTATTGCTGAAAAAAATCTTTTTGATCCGTCAGTTTCTGCAAAGCGGATTTGGAAGTGTGATAGGTCTTGAACAACAATAACAACCTTAAGCTTTCGCACATAAACTTCACGATAGCTGCTCGTCGAACAGTGGCTAACGAACCACACAAGTGGCCTTGATTTCGCATTTAGCAAGTTTTTGTCTGGAATTCTACGTGAGTTCCGAGAGCGTGGTGCCAGTTTCACCGTATAGCCGTACGGTGACGAAGTGGGTGAATCTCGACGGTAGCTTAACGATAAATTGAAGTGCTTCGTCGATGAAGGCAGCGCTGTATTTATTGGTGATTCCTGAAAGTATGAAATTGTCGCTTACCAAATGATGATCTATCATTGCAAGGCGAACGAATTGTCAGTTCTGAATAGTTTCAATTGTCAGTAAAATAAGGGCTCAATTGTGTCAGTTTCACCGCATTTGAATAGTTTCAGCATGCGTTAAATCTTCCGATTGAACGAACTAAAAGTGTGCAGTTGATGAAGTTTCTTGTTGAGCTCAAATAGTAGACGAATTTCAAAATTTTTATCGATACGTACCTAAGTGATGAAGTCGATAAATATATATCACCATCTAGATGCATGGTATTGAAAGGAGTAACATTGGAGATGCTGCTGCCTATTACCTGACTGTAAAAAACGTTATATTGACGAGGCTTTGTAATATTAACAAAGCCATGTAAAGCACTGTTTCCAATAATAGCATCTGCACGTTGCAAATCGTTGGTGTTCGATGAGAGTTCACACCGCCATTCCAAACAACCATTCAAATTATTGGATTTCCAATCCGGACTCAATGATACGATGAGTTTTGGTGCAGCTGAAACGAGACAAGTGCATCCATGCGAACTGCGATCACATGCATTCAAACGTCAATGAAGCGAAAAATGTAAACTTTTTCAAAGATGTGGATGACTCATTTGCTGGTAGCAGCATTGCTGGAATTGATGCTTCTCTCTGTATCCTCTAACACATCGAAATTCCTTCTTCTACCCGCTTTCGAGTTGAAAATTTTTGCCCATTTGGAAACGTTAAGGATAGGTGATGAAATGATCGCGAACCGGATGGGTCAATTCTTATGGTTGTCATTTTCTGAGCAAAACTAATCCCACTGACATCGCCAACAATACTTTCCACCCATAAATCGCCAAATCGTTTTGATTTCAAACAAAATCCCTCTTCCTTGTTTGCCTTCTTGGAGCCATCATTATCATCTGCAATTGGATAGTTTGTTCAGGAGTGAAATGTTAAACAATAACGCATTGCTGCTTCATACAATATCTTTTTTCATTGTTATTTTGTTATGATGTGGAATTGGCATCAGTATATAGCATAACATACGCTGTTTACATAACGTTAATATATTATTATCAATATGCTTATTATTACATTATTGAAAGCATAACATTATTTCGTCACCGCTGTTGCTAGGTTTGAAACAAAAGATCATCATATATCCTACTGATGGCGTCCGATCGACGGTCGGTCGGAAAAATCCGACAGTTTCGGTCGGAATTACGACGGTGAGATTCCGACCAAGCAGTTTGGAAGGTCGGTCAGAATTCCGACTGTCCGAATGATGAAATGTCAAGCCGGTTGGATTCCGACCGACACGAAATTTCGCTCAGATGCCATCACTAATACATACCCAAAAACGACTGCTTGAACTTATGAGAACAATACGGCGCGCAGCGAGCGATACCACCCTAATACATTATATTATAAGGCAGGCGATTTCCATTTGATATATTCTCTCCCTAGCGATAAGACCCAATTTATTTCCCAATTTGTCGGTAGAAATGTTGCTAAAAATTCAGGTCTGATCTATTCGTTGAAGCTTCAATCAGATGCATTGTTTGCAGCTGAACAGACAATTTTCGGTCAATCAGCATCAAGTTTGTGGCGATAACAAGGTTCGCTAAGATTTTTCTTGAAATGAAACATAAGATGTGACGATGAGTTTGATGAGGATGAGAAAAATTTAAGATGTGAATCGTGAATGAATGGATAAACTGTTGAAGATTCTGTCAAACTATAAGAAAGTGTTAAGGATGATGGTGGCGAGGATTTTTTGTGGTCGGCAGTTGATCATACAAACCCGCACATGCCGCATGATTCATAAAGTGATATAGTATTACTCATTTTTGCATTTTCATTACGTCTTCTCGACGACGGAGCAATTGTGATTGTTCCAAAATTCCGCGCGTAACGCTGAAATAACCAAATGATTGGAACACTTCTGAAATTGATAATGATGATATGAATAATGATAAATTTTGAGCGGAGCCACCAATAATCTCTTAATGAATATATAGTAGATGGCGCTGAATAATAATCGAGAGGCGACTTATTCACCTTGAATATCGAGTATGTTGATATGCCGTACGGTAAAATAAGAAACGTTGACAGAAGAGCAATAACAAACAACGCATACTGAAAACGATGAGCAAGATACCACGAAAGACGTGCACACCACCGTTGGAACATAACTGAAATTGACTCATCAACCTTGCTTATCGAGAGTGTGTACTGACAGATGACCGAAACGAAGATAGTCAAAAGAATGCCACTGACACATGAAACATTCAAACTCTTAAATGATCTTCATTTGCTTCCGCTCTTATCAACCACCAATTCTGGCATTTTAGCATCTAACAAGATTTAAATTTTTCGCTGATTTTAAAGTGAATCTATTCGATAGATATGTCGTCAGCACACAGTCATACTATCCACACGCTACTAAGAGCAATTACAATGTTTAATCACTTGTGCAAACAGTGATAAAACATTGTAATTGCTTATCAGAGTTAATCAAGTCCATCACTTGTACAAACAATGATAGAGTGTTACCGATCAGTAGTATGAGCATGGAAATATACGACTGAAGTTATTATGAATGACACGTATCGTTCATGCCACATTTTTGCATCGTTATTAGCAAGCAACAGTTGAGCAGCAATATTTTAACCACAAAATAACATCCATTGAAAACTATTTCAATTGTATCAAATTCAAATTATTTGTAGAGAAATTCAATGTAATTGAATTCAACTTCATGAAACATTGGATGACTGATCGAATATTTTCATTTTTGCATTCATTGGTGAATGTAATACTGAAATAATGATCGTTCTCACACAATACTCTTCATTTTCGATTCTTTCACATTTTGCAGTGATATCGACGATGAACACGTAATGGTAAGTTGAGTTCGAGTGTGAACGAGGATGAAAGCTGAACGAAATGATGAATTCAGATTAAATGAAAGTAGAAGAAGACCCAAATATTTCATGCACGTGCAGCAGTTATAAGTAACTACGACGTACATTTCATAAAAAAATCGAATGGAAGCTTTTATAATAAATGCTTAGTTGGCTGATTGACGTGTGCTTAGTTGGCTTAGTGAAAGACAGATTATGAGAACGACTTATGTAGCTTAATAATTACGAGAAGAAGTATGCGTACATGCATATATGGATGGAAGGATGGTGTTAGTAATTGAAGACAACCGCTACCTTGATGACACATCGAAAGAGAATGAAATAGCAACGAAGTAAATACTTCAGTTGATTTCGGATTGAAATGTCTCTACTGTTCGATCCAAACGCATTCACTGTCCAATCAACTGAATCATATAAATTTGTGCAATCAAATATGGATTATTAGTGAAAAGGTAATACGTGTTCTCACAATGATTAAGTGATGCTTTTGGTGTTGCAGCAGTGTTTTGCGACGTGGTGAAGTCGGAAATATTATTTATGTGATTCAATCACATTCATTCTCCAGCATGCATTCGTTCGTTCGGCAAATAGCACCGAAGTGACGACAAACAAAAATTACATTCAATTTTATTTCGTCTACATATTCAAACATTTACAACCTTTTATACGACAGCTAATTTTATATGATTCAATTTGCATAAACCATAAACGCTCCTCAGCTTCTTCAACATTCTTATAGATCTATTCACATACATGCATGCATCATTTCTTAATGAAATATTTACACAATATTGAATACTTTTAGTCATGTAAATAGCATACATTCATATGGACATTTATTTTGTTTCAAATTTTCAACGTTACTTTCAGACTCAAACGCTGTCAGTTGAAGGAGATTTTCATGGTTAACTCACATCAAATTTATGTATTTCGCAAAAGAGAAGTTCGAGCAGGTGTTAACTAGTTGAAGATACGATGCAGAAAATCAATGAAAATATGACACAAATCTCGCGTCTTTCCTCATTCCCTTAAGTTTTAGGCAAGGACTTACAAGTGTTGTGCGAAACCCTTCCTCAAATATGCAATTGAGATTTGGCATCCTCATCAGAAACATGATTGTGATCAGTTAGGAAAGATTCTTATTGCAATCGCTCTTCATAAACTCAGATCAACGAAGGCATTTTGAAATATTTTATCTATTCATTTAATCCGAAATTATAATTCATTGTGGATTTAGTCCTCTTTGTAATAGTGATGGGATCCGACCGACATTCGGTCGGAAAAACCCGACAATTTCAGTCGAAATTCGGAATTCCGACCGTCGGAACGGCGAAGTGGGAATTCGGTCGGAATTCCGATTGTCGGAATGACGTAATGCCAACTCGGTCGGATTCCGACCGAACAGTTTGAAAAGTCGGCCGGAATTCCGACTGTCGGAATGACGAAATCCTAATTCGGTCGGATTCCGACCGAATAGCTTGAAAAGTCGGTTGGAATTCCGATTGTCGGAATGGCGAAATGCCAATGCGGTCGGATTCCGACCGAACGAAATTTCGCTCGGAATGCATTCCGGCTGTAACACACGAGAGCTCTTCATACCTTGCATCATTGAATGCAATGGCAAATGGCTGCAGACAGTTTGTATTGTGTGTTCAAATAGATGGGTTGATTGGAGGGAAAGTAGAAAAGAGTAGTAAATGAAGTGGAATGAGTAACAATACTAATTATTGAACAAAATAACAGCATTAATATTCCTTTGTTTTTACAATTCACCATGATATGATATTAATTCGAAATCATGTTACGCTATGTTCCCTTCCATTCACTGGAATCTTCTTATAATTATTTATTATTATTGCCGTTGTTGTGCAACAGTCCATCAATATGCTAGATTATGTCCAGTACACTTCTGTCATCTCTCGAATTTCATAGTTTTCATTTTCATTCGGTGAAAACCTCTCGAAAATGTTTTCTCTTTCCCGAGACATCACGGAAGGTTTTCGGGATTTGGAGCATATCTGAAACAGTGTTTAAAATTTCAGTGAATTGTGCACTTCGATCAATACTTTCTCTTCTCTGTTTACTCGCATGTACTAACATTGTGATGATTCCCCAACGTAATGACTACCATAATTAATTGTGCTTAATCGTTTTAATAATATTCCTTCTGAATTTTATGCATTCAATCTCGAGTTGTCAACTCGATCTGCAAAAGGGAACGGATAAAAAGAAACGATACGATTTAAAGAATATTACTATCGTTAAATGTTGATACTGAATACTTGCTCAATATGACTGTTGAAGATCTTCATATATCTAAACCTCGTTTTGCTAACGCAGTTCGTTCGAATAGTTTGGTCATTCCTCGAACTGTTCATGAACCGAAATTTTCACGTGGTTAATACTGGAAAATGATTGATTCATTCATGCCGACTCAATTTTTCATATTTCGTAATTTATTGTTTGTAATATTGTTATCTGCCAAAATACATTTGGATAAAGTTTTGATATGCAATTGTCGTCAGTTGTTAAGGTAGCCATCAAAAAATGAAATCGCTGAAATATACGGTTGTAAACAATTATGAGAAATGGACGAAAAAATATGAGTAATTACTGAATTTTGGTGGATTCGGAAAAACTTCGGTCGGGATCCCGACCGAACCGTTCCGACAATTTCGGTCGGAATTCCGACTGTCGGAACGACGATACGGAAATTCGGTCGGAATTCCGATTGTCGGAATGGCGAAATGCCAATTCGGTCGGTTTCCGACCGAACGAAATTTCGCTCGAATCCCATCACTACTCTGTAATCACCATGTTAGTTTCAGAAAAGTATATATATAAGGATATGCTACTTGCTCGGCAGCACTCATTTCAGTATACTATATCTCTGTTGATCATTTTTTCATTACATTGTCAGTGATAGGGTAACCATCTTTAAATCAGCGCTGTCCTCAGATATGCCCAGGAACCTTGTGATTTTTTCACACAATGCAATTTTCCAGGTTCTCTAGTTTCAGATTGATACACGTATTTTCGGGCGATTTTGCTTACTCCAAGAAGTATTGATGATTTTCTAATGTCTTCTCATATATCTGAGCCGTACATTCCAGTGAACTGTATTTGTATTGTTCAAATTGTACAAGAGTGTAGTAATATCAGGATCATTATATTCAAACTATTGGTACCTTCAAGTTTGCATGTCAACATGTATTTTTCTCTCATCCATCAGATTCTCCAGTTTCAGAAAAGTATGTATGTTGTGGGTTGATTTTGATCACTGTTCGGATATTGTCGATCATTTCGATACATGATGCTGAGACACTTTATGCTATTCATTCAGCAGCTTTGTTGAAATTGTCCTTTAGTATCTTATGGCCAAAACGCGATTTGCTCCTCAGATCGATGTATGCATGCATGGATACTTTATATTATTCATTCAGCAGTTTTGTTACAGTTATTCTCAAGTATCTTATTGCCAGAAAGCGATTTGCTCATCAGAGCGACTTGACTGCCTAGAAATTAAATATGTTGAACGTCTCAATTGTATCAGTCGACTTTCACGTGCATCTCTTCTTGATTTAGGCTGACTATGATATCATTTGACAGTATCTTATCAAAGCAATCTGTTATCATTACCTAGAATAGACTATATGCTCATGACTTATTATGGAATAGACTATATGCTCAGCATGAGCATATAGTCTATTCTGAGTAATGATAACAGATTGCTTTGATAAGATAGTCATCCCTTTGATGAAACATTTCAATGGTACAATATCAAATAACTGACCAGAGATCAAAACTTTTTACGGGGATGTTTACTGAATACATTGGAATTCCGCAATAGGCTTTTGGATGCACTTTGTCAAAAAACGTCAAACGACGTTCCATGCTTGCAATGCTTTAAACACGCACGTGTACACCTACGCACGCTCGCATCCGAAGCATGACACTCAAGATTCATGTAACGTCTGCATTTCTACTTTCCCGTATATTCCCATCCCATTTTCCTTCTCACTAGTCTTCGTAATGCTATTTCGATAGTTTTCGGCTTGATGACGAAAGCAAACACCCCACCTATCAATCGATTTTTACTTCATCTAACTCTACTAAGATGACTTAAATCACTTTTAATTAAGTTACAAACATTACACGACTGCTTCCATTTGATGCTCATTTAATTTACGAATTCCATTTTCCATTTCCGATGGAATTCCATTTTCCCTTGATAATCTAAGAGTTTCGATCCATGCCCCGCATTAT